GAGATGAGAACAAGATGTGGTTGAAGAAGGGGCAGCTGGGCCAGGGCGGGCTCTTCCTAGGACGTACGTCCTTCTTTCCATTGGGATAGCAGCGTCTTTGGCCCTCAGAGAAGCAGTTGGGCACGAAGGCGTATGTGGACCTAGCTTGGGGGAGTTGGAGCGTTGTTCAAACAGATGGCTGGGCCCCAACCCCAAGTTTCTGTCTGATTGGAGGGTTTCAGTGGGGCCCGACGATTTGCATTTTTAGCTACTTTCTGGATGATGCCGATGCTGCTGATTCAGAAAGGGTGGTTAGGTGGAAGAGGAAGCAGATTGTTCTTTGTAGATTCAGAAACCAGAATGAAGGCCACTGGCTGCCAATTACACCAGTTAGAGAGGTCTTTTTTTTTTTATAATTAAAAAAAATTTTTTTTAAAGGAGCCAGCGTCTCATTCTGTTACCCAGGCTGGAGTGCAGTGGCACGATCATAACTCACTGCAGCCTCAAACTCCTGAGCTCAAGCAATCCTCCTGCCTCAGTAGCTAGGACTACAGGCACACACCACCATGCCTGGCTAATTTTTAATATTTTTTTGTAGAGAAAATTGGTCTCGCTATGTTGCCCAGTCTGGTCTCAAACTCCTGGCCTCAAGCAATGCTCCGGCCCCAACTTCCCAAAGTGCTGGGATTATAGGCAGGAGCTATTATTGCACCTGGCCAAGAGGTTATTTTCAATTCAATGTAAGAACTTTAACTGCTATATGTTGGAGTGGGTAGTCTCAGAAGCTCCCCGCCTCTGGAAGTGTCCAATGGTGCATGGCCATGTGGCAGATTCTTACTCTAGGAAGAAAGTTCATTCATTCATTTGTTCATTTGTCCACTCACATATTTTATGTCTTCATAGAATACACATGTGCTGCTTGCCTGCTAGGTGCTGGGAACTAGGGAGAAGACTTGAAAGACAACTGGTGCTTGCCCTTTGGGAGCCCATAGCCTAGGGGGTTTGACTATATGATTTCTGGGGTCCCTTTCCTTGCTGAGGCTATCAGAGTCCTGTGCTGATGGGGACAAATCCTCAGAATAAGAGGCTGCAGGAAGATTCTTATCTTCTGAAGACCCATGGCTGAGTCCTGATGGGCACGTGTACACTTCCAGGCTCCATTTGGGTTGCTATCTTGGGAGCATCTTCATGTCACTGGATGAATGATTTTTTTCCCCTTACTACGACTCACAGGAGACTGAGAATGTATTTACCAGGAGTGCATTTCCTGCAGGGAAAATTCATGTCTCCCCACCAGCACCCAGGATGGACTGTTATTAAACTCTGAGCCCTTGACCAGCCGTCCATTATGCAGTCTTTGAAAGCAGACCCAGGAAATGGGTTGCAAGTTTGAGCAAATTGCTTCTTACCACCTCGCTCTCTTTCCCTTTTTAACAAGTGCAATCAATTTATTAAAATACTTAACTTAAGCATCAGCAATGGTGACTTCAACCTCAACCCCCAGCTCAATACTGATCGAGTCGATCAGCTTGACAATCTTGGAAGGACTGTGCAAGTCCATGAGTTGTTTGTGGATTCTCATCTGGAAGTGATCCCACATCTTGGAACCTTCCCCACAAGGAGTTTTTCTTGTAGGGGTTCTCAAAGTCTTGGTAGGCATGCAAACCGGTCCTTTCACTTGGAGATTCTTTTCCTTTGCACCTCTGATCAGATCAGCACACACTTTCTCCAGAGATTTCACATTGCTACTGGTAAGGGTGATGCTAATTTGGTGGATTGCCTCGGGCTCCACGAGTGTCTTGATGGTGTCTTTAAAAGCCACGGCTGTGATGTGGCTTCCTGACCGACTTGTGCCTTGGCGAGAGCGAACAATGGTGAGGCAGGAGCCGGAGCGGGTGGACCACAACTCTGCAGCACCCACGTCCGCTGCTTCTTCAAAAAAAGACTGCCTCTCTCAAGTGACGAACTGGAGATTTAGCAGCTGGGTAGTGTTAGAGAGAATCAGGCAAATTCCACCCGTTTTTCTAGCTTCTTCCATCATAGTCCCTGTTGAAAGCAATAATAATCATCACTAACTTTTATGGAGCTCCACTCAGTGCCAGGCATGATGTTAAACCTCTTATGTGTACTGTTACATCCTTTGACCCTCACAACAGCCCTATCAAGTGGGTACATTATCCTCACTTTTACAAGAGAAGAAACAAAGGTTTGGAGGGGCAAGATAACTTGCTCATGGCCATACAGACAATAAATGTCAGAGCTGGAATCCAAACCTCAGTCTTCCAGACGTCAGACCATGCTCTAAGCTCCTAGTATGCTGAACTGCTCATTCATTCATTCATTACATCATTCGTTCACTCAAATGCTAAACACTGATATACACCAGTGAGCAAAACTGCTTGGCCTCTGCCCACATGAACCTTACAGTTGATCTTCCTCAGACAAACAGGTGACTCCTTCCTTGAATTCCCCAACTAGTTAGATGCTAAAGAGAAAGGACTGGGAGACAGATTCTGGCAAGTTAGTTACTGACCCAGAGTTTCCAGATGAAAGAGAGTTTCTCTTTCCAAGCTGGGTTTTGTGCTGTGCTTTATTTTGACATTTCCCTATTGGGTTATTTTTCTTTTCTTTTCATTTTTTGGAGTTGGGGTTTTACTCTGTTACCCAGGCTGGAGTGAGTGCAGTGGCACAATCACGGCTCACTGCAGCTTTGAACTCTTGGACTCAGAAGAGCCTTCCACCCTACTCTCCTGAGTGACTGGGGCTACAGGTGTACACCACCATGCCCAGATAATTTTTTGATATTTTGCAGAGACAAGGTCTTGCTATGTTGCCCAGGGTAGTCTCAAACTCCTGGCCTCAAGCAATCCTTCCACCTTGGCCTCCCAAAGTGCTGGGATTACAGTTGTAAGCCACTGCGCCTGGCCCTACCTGTTGGGTTTCTTTTCTTCTTGTCCAAGTCTGGATGTTGAAGGCCTTGACATAATACAAGAGACAATCCTTGTGGCACTTGCCTTTTGACTATGCTGAGTGTCATTGACACAATACAAGAGACAATCCTTGTGGCACTTGCCTTTTGACTATCCTGACAGTGGAGGAAAATCTGATAGTCAGGAGTTCCAGAACTTAGAGCTGGAAGTAACTCTTGAGTTACTGTAGACACCCACTCCCATGATCCTCTCTTGCTGGGAAATGTCATCTCTTTTAAAACCCCGGCTGTCCCTGCAGATTCCTTTGGCTTTCTGTGCTGGCCTCAGCTTACATTTTCTTTTTCTTTTTTTTTTTTAAGGAGTTTATTTTGGCCAGATGCAGTGGCTCACGCCTGTAATCCACTTTCAGAGGCCAAGACAGGAGGACTGCTTGAGCCCAGGAATTCAAGACCAGCCTGGGCAACATAACGAGACCTTGTTTCTACAAAAAAGATACAAAAATTAGCTAGGCGTGGTGGTGCATACCTGTAGTCCCAGCTACTTGAGAGACTGAGGTGGAAGGATCTCCTGAGCCTAGGAGGTCAAGGCTGTGGTGAACTGAGATCATGCCACTGCACTCCAGCCTCAGAGACAGAGTGAGACTTCGACTCAATAAGCAAATAAAAAATAGTTTTAAATTAGGTTTTAAGTTTTTCAAATTTTAAAGATGTATAGGGTACAATTCAGGGTTAGGTATACAAATGTTCATTATGCAGGCATCCTTGTTGATGAGGTGTGCCCTCCCTCCCCTGGCAGATTCCCACTACTGCAATCCCAACTCCCCCACCCCAGGCAGTTTCCCGTTACTGCCAATTCTTTTCTTATAGTATATATGATAATTTCGGTTTTAAGTTTTTAAAATGCATACCTGATTGTTATTTTAAAAGTCAACCAGTTTCAGAAATATGTAACTCAGATTGTGAACATCTTCTGCAATTCTCTGAGACAATCACCATTAACAATGGACATTTCTTTCTCCAGCTGTTTTCAATGCATACACTGTTGTGTACAGTTATTAGCTTTTCACTAAAATGGACTTTAAAAGATGTACTTTTCTGAAATGTACTGTTTCTATCTAACTCCGTTTTAGACATCTTTGTACATATTAGTACATATAAATACACATCATTCTTTTTTTCGTCAGACTCCCATTTCTAATGGTGCCTTCCATTTTACCTTTTTGTCCCCTGACCTTGACTTTCTATAGATCAGTTCTGCTTTTGATGTGGTGAACTAGCTGAAACATCCATTTGGCTCTTTTGTTTTTCTTTTAACTTTTAGAGGGATTCTTGGAACCTTGTTTGGTGTAGCCTGTCCTTTGGTGAGGAATTCTTAACCTCAACTTCAAGGGGTCTGTGACAAGAGAGAAACCAATGTCCAAGTTTAGAAAAGAAATAAAGGAATTTAGTGGAAGGGTAACACATAGAACTACTAGGTCTCAGGAAATCTGAACCACTGGTTCTCAGCAAGGACAGACAAAGGCAGCTCAGGAGGATCCCATGTAGCAGGAACAAAGGAGCATCTGTTCACACCTCACAGCATCACTCCATTGGCCTAGCTTGAAACATGGGCCACCCCATGGCCAAGGCCAAGTAGAACACCTTGATTGACAAGCTCACCAAAATATGCGTCCGAGAATAGACATTCCCTTAAAGAAAAACGGGTCTGCTGATACTAAAAATCGGTGGGTTCGATACTGAAAAAAATCAATCTAGGTATGCAATAGGGTTCATAAACCCCAGGAAATGTTGTGTGTGTTTGCACGTACGTATATTTTCCCAGGACCCAGAAAAAAGCTAGGATTATTGTTTTAGTCCTATCAGCTCCATCTGGTTGGAATGATGATCCCAGTGAATATAAAATTAATAACAAACTTGATCTGATGTTCCTTGCTGTTCTCTAGCCCCTTGTGTGGCTGTCCAGTTTTTTTTTTTTTCCCATGGAGATACTTGGGATGGTCCTGCCTGGTTTGGTCAAAACAACTTGCCACTGTTTCCAGGAGGATGGAATCCATCAGCTAATGATATAAATGTCTGTTTTTATTGTTTGCAGGGTCCTTTTTGCTCCAGCCTACACAGAAACCTTCTATACTCCAAGTGGCAACCCTCTAACCACCACGCTGAAATCAGAGGTGAGTTCAGGACCATAGATGTCAATCCAGCAGGCTCCCTCTCCTGGCACTGCTCCTGGGGACGGAGGAGCTGCTGTTGGAGAAGGTCCCGCCTTGGAAAGGAGTCATCCTCCCCAACAGAAGACTGAGGGAGCCAACAGGAGAAGCAACATGTCTTTGTCATTTCCTAAGTGCTCCCTCTCCTTTGCTGGCTAAACAAACAAATAGAATATTTTAGGGTAATTGCATCTGGTTTAAATGGGTATAAATCATCCCAAAGCATACATTTTCTTAGCTTTATGTTAATTGCCCACATATTGATAAAACTTAAAGTAGAAGAAATGATTTACCCATAATCCTCCATCTCACCCAATGAGATGTTTGATCAATCCTTTTTTTAGTGGTTGTATAAGGCTTACAAAGTTGTAATCACTGTGCATACACATTTTGTGGTCTGTCTTTTAATTTATTTTTTATTTTTGTTTTTTGAGTTGGACTCTCACTCCTTTGCCCAGGCTGGAGTACATTGGGGTACATTGGCTCACCATAGCCTTAACCTCCTGGGCTCAGGTGTTCCTTCCTCCTCAGCCTCCCAGGTAGCTGAGACTACAGGCGTGGGCCACTTCATCCAGCTAAGTTTTTAATTTTATTGTAGAGACGAGGTCTCGTTATGTTGCTCCGACTGGTCTTGAACTCCTGGACTCAAGCAATCCTCCTGCCTTGACCTTCCAAAGTACTGGGGTTAGGCTGGGCTCGGTGGCTCAGCCTGTAATCCCAGCACTTTGGGAGGCCGAGGTGAGCAAATTGCCTGAGCCCGCGGGTTTGAGACTAGCCCAGGCAACTTGGTGAGACCTTGTCTCTATAATAAAATAAAATAAAAAATTAGCCGGGTGTGGTAGCGCGTGCCTGTAGTTCTGTCTACTTGGAAGGCTGAGGCAGAAGGATCACTGAGCCCGGCAGGTTGATACTGGTGTGACTGTGAGCATGCCACTGCATTCCAACCTGGGTGATGGAGTGAGACGCCAACTCAAAAAAAAAGAATGTGCTGGGATTAAAGATGTGAGCCACTGTGCCTGGCCTTAGTCTACTTTTTTAATGCAATTTCAAGTTATAAAGATTTTCTTATTTTGCTGCTGTCTTCATATTGGACATTTCCCCCTCAGAGTTATTTTTGTAGAGATGTTTGCACAAAGTCAAAGATTTGTCATCGAGAAAATGGTCTTTCAGTTGGTTCCATACTAGTTTGCTTTTACCACATGCCACTGGTGGGCATTTAAGGCGGTGAATCCTCCACAGCTCTTCCTACTTGGAATTGTGGTTTTAGAGCGGTGGTTCTCAACTGAAGCTGTTCTTCCACCTCACCCCAGGGCACACTTGGCAATGTTTGGAGACAGTTTTGATTGTCACAACTGGCAGGGGAGATGCTACCAGCATCTAATGGTAGAGGCCAGGGATGCTGCTAAACATTCTGCAGTGCACAGGACAGCCCCCAAACTGAGAGTTATCCAGCCCCAATGTCCATAGTGCCCATGCTGAGAAACCCTGGATTCGAGTGCTCCTTCTCAGGGTCTGGGCTGATGAGATGGGGTGAAAGAGAGGGACACGCTGGCAAGAGCGGCAGGCGTCTTTGTCTTTGGAGCAGGACATCATGGACTTCTGAAGCATGCAGACTGGGAGGTGTGGCATGGAGGCCAGCAGGAGTGGTCCTTCTGCCTCAGGACTGCTCTGGAGGCTCCCCATGGAGCCAAGATCCCACTTGGAGCCAAGATCCCATTCTTTCAAATATCTCTGCTAGCCATGTGTGATGGCTCATGCTTGCAATCCCAGCACTTTGGGAGGCGGAGGTGTGAGGATTGCCTGAGCCCAGGGGTTTGAGACCAGCCTGGGCAACTTGGTGAGACCTCATCTCTACAATAAATCAAAAAATTAACCGGGCGTGGTGGTACACAGCCTGTGGGAGCTACTTGGAAGGCTGAGGTGGAAGGATCATCTGAGTCCAGCAGGTCGATACTGAGGTGGCTGTGAGCCAGCCACTGCACTCCCACCTGGGTGACAGAGTGAGACTCTTAACTCAAAAAAAAAAAAAAGCCCCGCTAGAGTGGTAATGTCTAATAGGACAATACCAGCCGCTATCAGGTATTAATAGCTCAGATTAGTTCACCAGATTACCTGTGTATGGGGAAAGGGATTCAGGATAGGTAAGTTTGGAGAGATCTAGAGTATCTCTAGATCAGGTAACTCAGGGACCATGCTAGATTGTGAGCTGTGGAGGTTAATGCCGCCTTCTTCAACTTCCAGGATGGGGAAGGAGCTGGTAGTGTGGCCAGTGCTCGCAGCAGGCAGGTCAGGCTGCATCATCTTCTGTGTCTTCCCATCTCCAGGGAGGCTGTCCAGCTGTGACTCCACTCTCCTCACGGTTCCATGGTCAAAACTTCTCCTCCCCTCTTGAGACTATTCTGTGCCTCCAGGGGCAGGGTGGGGTGGGCACAGCCTTGCTAGAAATCCCCTAGCCATTATAGCCTCCCCAAAATACCCTTCTCTGAGCTTGGACTCTGCCACTTTTGTACTCACAGCTCAAGAATGAGTCTCAGTCCACAGATTTGCCATGAGCTCATGCTTCCTGCAGCGAAACCTCCTCGGGGTGGCCCCATCAAGCTGAGATGCTAGGAATGCAGTGACTTCATGGCGGATCCTTGACTTGTTCTTTGTGCTCTCAGCTTGTGCATGAGATGTTGTGAGGGCCTTTCAGAAACAGAAGCGTGGAAGAGAACTTCTCCTCACCCCAGAGATCCCCTCCAACCTGAAGGTCTTGTTGACCGAGGCACATCCTAGTTGAGCCATGGAACTACCTGTTGTTTGTCTGTATCCCCTGCCTTTGGACATTTGCAAAGCCCCCAACCAGGCTCATGGGGCTCTCAGTTTCTTCTTTGGAAGCTGAGATCTCAACAGAAAATGGGAATGGAACAAAGCACTTAACTGCTCTTGACCCAAATGTTGAAGACTGTTCTCTGCTACCAAACTTGGCCTGGGCAGCTGGAGTTCTGGGAATCTTATCAAGACTCATCAGCCAGGTCTTAAGGCTACAGCCTGAACCTAGGTCAGGTCGTTGGGGGAATGGGTCTGATAATTTGTTCCAGCAGAAGGAGTTACAGGGTTTGGGGTTTGAAGCCAGAATTGCCTTGGCTTTAACTCACTATGTAACCTTAAACAACACTTTGACCACATCTCTTCCAAACCCGCAATTTACAGATGAGGAAATTGACAGGAGAAGAGGAAAAGTAACTTGTCCGAGTTCAGATAACCAGGAAGTGGCAAGACTTGGGCTTGAACTTGTCTCCTTTTTGATGGCAGAACCCAGGAATAACAGAGCTCTGAAAAATTCAGTCCTTCTTGGCTGCTGCTGGGAGAGGCTGAGAATGGAGCTTGGGGCCAGGCTGTGGGGGTCTAGTCTCCACTTTGCTGTGTCACTTTGTCAGTGACCTAAAGCCTCTCTTCAATTTCCCCCTTTTAAAGCATGGGAATAATAATATCTGCCTTATGAGACTGTTGTCAGAATTAAGGGAGAAAAAAATATACCTAAGTTTGTTCCTCAAGTGATAAGAGCTGGGTAGATGTTTGCATTTATTGTTACCAACAGTAGGTGGCAGGTGTCATGATCACATGAGAGAATATATGTGAATGCCTTCTGGATTGTAGAGCATGGCTGGGTGTGGTGGTTCATGCTTATAATCCCAGGGATTTGGGAGGCCGAGGTGAGAGGATTGCTTGAGGCCAGGAGTTTGAGACCAGCCTGGGCAAAAAATAAGAAATTTTTTTGTCTGTACAAAAAATAAAAAATTAGCTGGGCTTGGTGGTGTGCACCTGTAGTCCCAGCTATTCAGGAGGCTGAGGCAGGAGGATCACTTGAGCCCAGGAGGTTGAGGCTGCAGTGAGCTATGATTCCACCACTATACTCCAGCAAGACCCTGTCTCTAAAGAAAAAAATTGTAGAGCATGTTAGAAAAGTCTGTCGTGATGCTATTTCAGAGAGCACCCGGGCTATGAACACCTTTAGCATCACTGCAAAGATATAAGGAGATGCAGGGATTCTGGATGTGAGTTCTCTTTACTTACTAGCATTTTGGGACTGTAGCTGACATACATTTCTGAACTCCTTGACTCTGTCATTCAAAGGCTCAGCCCCCTCTCTCCTGGGAGGCCTGGTCCTTCTTCTCCCTGTGAATGAACCTATGCTACAGAGTTCATGGCCCACTGTTGAGTTCTAAGGACCAGGTTTAGGACTTGAGTGCTTCATGATCGGTCTCCAAATCCCAGAGCCCAGGAGTAGGTAGAGAAGCCATGTGACCCCCTCGCATTTGAAAGCAGATGGAATCCTGGCAGGAAGGAGGGTTTCACCTGCCTCTCCTTCTTTTATAACCCCAGCATGGTGGTTTTCCTTTTTGCTTCTCTCAGGGGTGGAATCTGACTTGCTAAAAGCCAGGAGAGTTTGATGCAAAACAGGGGTTGGCCCGTCTCTCCTCCTGACTGCACAAGCTTGAATGGGTAGGGAAGTGACATCGCTGGCCGGTGGACTACCCGTGGATGAAAGGGCACCTGTGGTCTGGAGAATGAGCCTGGGATGAGTGTCACCTTGGCCTGTGTCCTCTGATCTGGCTCAGCTGGATAGGATGTAGAACTGGCACCGTGAAGGCTGCAGATTCAGCCCTTTGGTGGGCTTCCAGCTCCTTGGGGACACATTCTGCCTTGGATGAAGGAGGATTTCATGATCATGTGGTCATTGATGCTTGTTGCCTGCCGTGCTGGCCAGGTGTTCTGCTAGCTCCTTAATGTACAGTGTTCTCAAAGACACTCAAGGTCGGAGAGAGATTGTGGAACTGGCAGATGTGGGAGCTTGGATTTCAATCTGGCCTGGTCATGCCAAAATACTTGAATTTAATTATTAGGCTGTCTTCATGCTGAGAGCTGGGAGGGACTGGAGCCAGGAAATACAGACAAATGGGTTAGCTGCCTCTTGGGTCACATCCTTGCCTTTTGGGAACAAAGAAACAAGCAGCATGGTCCTGGAGATGAACCCCTGGGACTGTCACTTATGTGAAGGCCTGTGCGTTTCTGATTGACCCTGCTCAGGCTTGGGGTGCTGGGGGCAAGAGAAAGCTCCCATGTGTCTGCAACTATGGAGTTTATACCTTTTTAAAGATCTTTCCAGAACTCAGCTTTAGCCTAAAGCTTTTCGCTTCTCTTTGCTCTGACCAGCTCGTCTCTCTAGACCTATCTGGGGAGAAACTTGTAGGAATATGTCCCTTGTTATTTCTCCTTGGTTTATAGGAGACAGTCCTGGCTTGTACCTGTCTGTCTGGTTTAGCACTTCAGTGTGCTCAACGTACTGTGTTTTCCTCCAAAATGCTATAGTTACTTTACTTATAAAACTCTTACCAGCACTCCAAATGTTTATTTCAAGCCACTTCTTCTGATATGTAATTTTTTTCTTTGAGACAGTCTCTCTCTCTCACCCAGGCTGGAGTACAGTGATGCAATCATAACTCACTGCAGCCTCAGCCTCTGGGCTCAAGGGAACCTCCTGCCTCAGCCTCCCAAGTACCTGGGACTGCAGGCACACGCCACCACACCCATCATGCCTACCTGCCTTTCTTCTTTCTTTCTTGATGAGGTCTTGGTATGTTGCCCAGACTGGTCTCGAACTCCAGGGCTCAAGCAATCCTCTCGCCTCAGCCTCCCAAAGTGCTGGCATTACAGGCATGAGCCACCACGCCCTGGTGTAATTATATCTTTGTGTGGCTTTCTAATTAGTGAGGGCTCTCACAAGAGCCTCTCTGTGCTCATTATTGTGTCTCCCGGGCTAGCCCACGGCCTGGCACGTGGTGGTGCTCACAGCTGTGAGTAGTGATAAAGGAATCCGGGCAGCCTTGAGACACCATGGCTAGAGAGTGGCATCAGACCTTATGGCTGTAGGGGCTGAATCAAGAATGGTCCAGGGGTGGGATTTCAGGGAGGGAGAGCATGGTGAGCTTCAAAAAAGGAGGGAGTGTATTCGTTTCCCAGAGCTATTGTAACTTTGTTACCCCATGAACTCAGAGGGTTCAAACAATAGAAACTTACTCTCTCACAGTTCTAAAGGCTAGAAGTCCAGAATCAAGGTGGTGGCAGGCCATGCTTCCTCCAAAGCCTCTGGGGAAGAAATCTTCCTTGCTTCTTCTAGCTTTTGGTGGCTCCTTGTCCTTCGTGTTCCTTGACTTGTAACTTCATCACTCTAGTCTTTGCCTCCGTTTTTAAACAGCCTCCTTCTCTTTCTGTGTGTCTCTGTGTGTCCTCTCCTCTCCTTATAAGGATACGAACCATCGGATTTAGGACTCACTCTGATCCACTATGACCTCATCTTAATTTAATTACATCTGCAAAGACCCTATTTCCAAATAAAGTCACATTCTGAGGTTTTGGGTGGACATGAATTTTAGGGGGACATTATTCAACCCACTGCAGGGGTTACAAAGGTGACACTGGCGGGTCTTTGAGAAATCAGTGTTTCCTGTGGTTGGCATCATACTGTGGAAAGAGCCCTGAACTAGATCTGAAAGTCCTGGATTCTTCAACCAGCTGGGAGACCTTCGGCAAATCTGTGCTCCTCTGAGCCTCAGCTTCTTTATCTGTTCACTGGAGATAGTGACATCTGCCCTGCCCCATCTCCAGGATTATGATGGGGATCAATTAAAGTGGCAGCTTGGAGCGCTCTTTGTAGGCTGTAAGGGGCTATAAGTTAGGGTGCATATACAATAAACCATGAGCCCTCCCTCATGTTCTCGAGAGGTGCTTCTCTTGGTGTTCTTGGCCTGACCATCTCCTTTCTCCTCTCCAGGATCACTGCTTCTACCATGGCATGGTGAAGGAAGTGGAACAGTCCAGTGTCACACTCAGCACATGCCGGGGAATTCGGTAAGAGACCCACCCTGGGGATGCAGGGGGACACCTGACACTCTTCCCCAGAAATGGAATTTCCAAGATAAGTAGGACTAGTCTAAGGCAGGGATTTTAGGAAGGAGTCCTTTGAGAGTGTGCACGGTCCAGCCCTGAGCAGAGCTGAGCCTGGAGGGGCAGGGGAAAGCCTAGGTCATACACAAATTCACTGGGATTTGTTTAACTTTCTCGATGAACTTGGTGTTTTAAAATTTAGCTTCAGCCTGTAATCTCAGCACTTTGGGAGGCCAAGGTGAGTAGATTGCCTGAGCCCATGGGTTTGAGACCAGCCCAGGCAACTCGGCGAGACCTCACCTCTACAATAAAAAATAGCTGGACTTAGTAGCGTGTCTGTATTTCCGGTTACTCGGAAGGCTGAGGCGGAAGGATCGTGGGAGCCCAACAAGTTGAGGCTACAGTGGCCGGGAGCATGCCACTGCACTCCAACCTGGGCGAAAGAGTGAGACTCCAATTCAAAAATAAGTAAAATAAAATAAAATATAGGTTTTATTGTTATTCAGGTGTGGTAAGACCAACCAATCAGGAGACAACTGAGGTGGTTGACCAGGCATGGTGGCTCACAGCTATAATCCCAGTGTTTTGGGAGGCCAAGGCAGGAGGATTGCTTGAGACCAGGAATTTGAGACCAGCTTGGGCAACATAGTGAGACTCCATCTCCACAAATAATAAGACAAAAACAAAAGTTGGCTATACTCACAGAAAGGAGGGGGCATGCTATGCCACAGAGGGCTATACAGGGAAGCCCTGAGGTTGGTTGGGGCAGAGGAAGCCAGGAGAACTGTGGGCAGGAGCTTTTTATTGTGGTTTGCGAAGGAGGGAATGGATGAGGCAGAGTAGACAGGTTTAGGGCCGGCAAGTTTGAGTAATTTCAGTGGGCTCTGGGACATGGGGGTCGTCTGTCCTTAGTTGTCCTATAACTTTTCCTGGGGTGATTAGACAGGGAGACTGTGGCCCAGAGGCTGAGAACCCAATAAAGTAAGTGGTTGGGGTGTGGACTCTGTGGGTGGCTTGCATGGGAAAGGAAAGCTAATTGGGAAATTGTTTACTGTCTCTTGGAATTGGTTAACCCTGGAAGGGACAGCCCCTCCAGGGTCAGCAAGACCCTAGATGATAAAGCATCAGAAGACAAAAAAAAAAATAAGATAAACAGTATATACCGAAATTGATGAGTGGGAGCATTTGGTCTCTGTAACACGGTAACCCCTAATCTGAGAGGATTTATGTGTAATGGTTACCTATTCTAAAGAAGTCACCTAGAGGTCCAGCAGGGAAAGACATTGGTTTATTAAAACTTACGGGAGGCACCCCGCCAGTGAAGAATCCACTCCTTGGAGCAGTATAGCAAGCAGTTTTGTAACCAAAGCAATCAACCTAATCATTCACATTCCCAAACAGTGCTTACAATTAGATCACCTGCACCCCATGACTCATTCCAGGGAATATACATCTCCTTTAGTGACCAGCCTTGGCCAGAGGCTGCTCCCTGAGGGAGGGGGCAGGAAGAAGCCAGGCATAGGGGGAAACAGTTCATGTCCAGACAATACCTTACGGTCTCCATCTCCTTAGCTCTTCTCTGGTAGAAGTATTTGTAGGTGGTGAGAAATGGGCCGTTAGTGAACAGAGAAAGTGAGAAGAGAAAGGAGAGACAAGGGTAATTTTCAAGACAGAACTCAGTGGTAAAGTTCCAACCAGATGGTGCTTTGGAAAGAGAGCGACCTTTCCTTCTTTAAGCCAGACTACCTGGGTGTGAGCCAGTAGCCGTTTACCAGCTGGATGACCTTGGGTTTCATTGGTCTCATTTGTGCAACGTGCACGAAAAGAATCTATACCTGGTGTTGTAGAGATTAAGCGTGTTAGAGGATTCTCGCCGTAGAACTGCACTGGCACTTTGTCAGCCTCTAGTGATTGCCTAGGCTCCTGCTCCTCTGGGTGTGGTCCAAGGATGGGCAGTGCCAACTTCTCCTGGGAGCTGGCTCAAAATTCGGTAACTCACTGCCTACCCAGACCTGCCGGATTATAGTCTGCATTTTACCAAGATTCCAGGTGATTGTGTGCATGTTAGTCTGTACCTGAGAATGTGTGATCCTTGAGAATAGGAATTCTCTTGCAATTATCTGTTTCTCTCCAGCAGCCTGCCTTAGTGCCCTGCATATAGTAGAATCAGTGTGTGTATGTTGGAGTAATATTCTTTGGGGCCGGGCTCCGTGTCTCACACCTGTAATCCCAGCACTTTGGGAGGCTGAGATGGAAGAATTGCTTGAGCCCAGAAGTTTGAGGCCAGTCTGGGCAATATCTCTAAAAAAAATAAAAATTAAAAAATGCAAGACTTGTTACAGGGAATATGCATGTTCTGCAGAGACCAACCATGGCCAGGGGCTGCTCCCTGGGGGAGAGAAAGAAGCCAGATAAGGGGGGAAAGAGGCAATATCCAGACAATTAATTATCCCATACTGTGCCCTACATAGGTGGAAGAAAAACAGACAATGTAAAACAACTTTCAGAGGCCTCAGCTTTTTCACCTATAAAATGAGCATCCATGTTAGATGTGGTAGAAATAGTTATTTTAAGTCCACAGCATTTTATAAACATAAAGAATTCTTATCCTCTTATGACAGTAAAACCATGCTAAGACTTATGCAGGCTCCCATATAAATCCAAGACCCCTGCATTGCGGGTGCCACGTGTCTGTTTATAAATTGGGCCATGTCTCTGTTGTAAGCAAGGCTTCATGGTGGGTTGGCCGGAGAGAGTTAGGCAGGAAATAGGCTTTGGCAGGGAGGTGATATCAGAGTGACCCAAATCCCCTCTGCTCTGGTTGAGCAAGCCAGTTGGCCTCTGGTGGAGTTTACAAGCCCAGTCACCGCTGCCTGCTGTCTGCAAGTAAACAAATTTCCTCCCGAGGAGGAGAGAGAGCATGCAGGTGTGACCTGCTTCTCTCTGCCACTTCCTCTGGCCTCTCAGTCTGGAGCAGTGGGAACTTGGCTTGGCCTCTTGTAAGTCATTCCAGCAGTACTGACAGGGGAACCGCATAAGATGTCCATGTGTTCCTGCTTTGCATGCTTCTGTCTGGGGAGGGCTGTGCTCCTCACAGAGCCCTCTCACCATGCACCTTAGAAAACCAGGTCACGGGCACACTCATTGAAGATGGAGTCTCAGGCCGGGTGACTCTGTTCGGACCCTGGAAGGAGCAGCTGAAACAGCAGGAGGCTCAAACCCATGTCTCCAAACTCAAGGTGCCTCCCAAGACTTATAAAGCTCTGCTGTAATGGGAAATCTCCGTGCAAGTGTTCCTCTCTTCTGGAGATAAGTGCCTTGTGACTGGAGACAGTGGGTGGTATTTACACCAAGTAGTATCTTCAGACCAATGATACAGAGGACTCCAACTGAGCTTCTAGATGCTTGCTGGGTCTCCTCCTCTCCAAAGTCGTTCTTTAGGTTACTTTAATTGAAGAAGTATTGCATGATTATAGTAAAAATAAATTTGAATAGTACAAATGAGTGTATAGTGAAAAGCAGATCTCTTTCTCATCCCAGATTTTCAGATTTCCCCCTTCCTAGAGACAGCTGTCGTTACCAGTGTCTTATGTATCCTTTTAGAAACATTCCTTGCAAAAAAAGAGCATAGATATACCACACTGTGCTTTTTTATCTTTTTTTTTTTTTTTTTTTGAGTTGGAGTCTCACTCTGCCACTTAGGCTGGAGTGCAGTTGCTTGCTCATGGCCATCCCAATGTCGACCTGTTGGGCTCAGGTGATCCTTCCGCCTCAGCCTTCCAAGTAGCCAGAACTACAGGCGTGCGCTACCATGCCTGGCTAATTTTTTGACACATTGTTGAGAAAAGGCCTCGCCAAGTTGCCTGGGCTGGTCTCGAATCCCTGGACTCAGGCAATTCTCTCACCTTGGCCTCCCAAAGTGCTGTGATTACAGGCTTGAGCTACTGACTTTTTAATCTTATTTGACATCTGACTCCTTTGAGAATTGGATGGAAGCTATGAATACTTATAATGACACCAATAAAAAGATGTTGGCATATCATCTGTTGGGGCCACTTGAGTGTCCACATCCCCCATGCCTGTCTCAGATTAAGGATGCATGCACAGATGCTTTGTGAGCTAACACAGGGAATATGTGTAAGGTCCTCTTATAAGTCATTCCATCAGTGCTGACGGGAACCACATAAGATGTTCATGTTTTCCTGCTTTACATGCTTTGTAGAAACCTACACAATACTGGACTGACACACCTTTGACTGAGTGTGTATTCTGGGAAACATGTGCGTTATGTGTGTGTGCATGTATCTGTGTCCTTGGCTCAGGAGGGGTACTTGATTGAGAAGTTGTTTATTTTATTAAAACGTATCATTACATAACTAATATCGGCTTAATGTCAAACATTCAGACATTCATATTATACAGGAAAGTATAAATTTTAAAAAGTGAAGGTTCCTTGTCCTGTCCTACCCTTACAACCAATCTATTCTCCATCTGTAATCACTGTTGGGGACATACATAATTGTGTGTGTGTGTATTTATCCAAGTGAGATTATCCTTATATATACAGTTCTGTAGTTTTTTTTTTTTTCCAACTTTGTATTATGTTTTAGGTACACACAGATATATCTCATTTTTTTTTTTTGAGTTGGAGTCTCACTCTGTTGCCCAGGCTGGAGTGCAGTGGCACACTCATGGGCCACCCCAGCATCCTTCTGCCTCAGCCTTCCAAGCAGCCAGAACTACAGGCGCGTGCTATCACGCCTGGCTAATTTTTGATTTATTGTAGAGACGAGGTCTCGCCAAGTTGCCTGGGCTGGTCTCGAACCCGTGGGCTCAGGCAATCCACTCGCTTCGGTCTCCCAAAGTGCTGGGTTTACAGGCTGAGCTACTGAGCCCGGCCTATATCATTCTTTTTATTTATTCATTTATTAATTTTTGAGTCAGGGTCTCACTCTGTTGCCCAG